GGGAAACATTTTGCCAAGGCAATGGGCATTTGGACTTGGTAACAGGAGAAGGTGGAGCATCTGGAATAAAATGTATTCTAGTTTTCTTAAATTACCTCTTTTCCTCAATTTGATTTCCATACTCAATTCTTTCATTTCTCATTCAGTTTTAAAGTAATGGTTTTTGTTTAAATTTGTTGGAAATTGGTGGCAGTTAAGAAAGTAGATTTGGGATTGGAGAAAAAACTTAGGGAGTTGCTCATTGTATATCCATGTTTAAACACCATTTTTATACAGGCAGACAACTCTGCTTCAACTTTAAAAGGTTTTCATGCATTATTTGGGTTATCTTCAGATTTCTGAGTTTCTCATATTTTTATCATCCTGAAGACAATTATGGTATGAATGGGACTGATTTAAGATTTTGGAATTTATAAAAGGACTCATATCTCACATATCTGAGTTCACTACTTTAATATTCCTCATATTCCTTTGGAGGAATAAGTTCTTTCAGGTTTTTTTTAAAAAAATGTGGCCTTTTATACAGGTCAGATCCACTTTTCTTTTCTTTTTTAAGAGGACATACTGTGATTTGTTCCATTTGTGCTTAATATTTTGTGAAAACTGTGGTGGTTATCATCACATATTAAATTGTAGCTATATAATATAACCATAGTTTAATGTGATGTATGAATCAGAGAAAGAAAAAAGCTGAATAGGGAGGGATGTATAAACTGTACAGAATGATAGTAAGATTCTGCTCAGAGTTGCTCACCAGTGATTGTTCATAGAAGTGGAAGGTCATGAAGTCACGAACCCCTTATTTCTCTCCTAATCAGAAGGCCACATACACAATAGGGACTAACTTCAAGTATGCTAGAATACTATTTCTAGATTTTCTAACAAAGCAGTTCCCCAAATCCTCTATTATCATGACCCCAGCTCATCCTGGATGGCATTTAGGTTCCCATCATATCTGGAGGACACCAACTGTGCAGATGTTTGTACTAAGAGCCCTTAGGGTCAAAGGGCAAGTTTAGCTCTCATCCCTCATGCCCTTTGGATCATTCTTTTCATTTCCTCTTAATAGAAAATAGTTGTCATTCAGTTTTATGATGTCAAAACATTATCAGTCTCATTACTTTTTGTAATGAGCTTTTGTTTTAAAAGATAGCATACAATATTTTAAAATGAAATAAAGTACAATAAAACAAACTCTTTTGAGGGAAAATAAAAAGATTGACCTAGGCTTCTATATTTGATGTGTACCCTTCTTTAATTATTAGGGGAGATAAAAGAGAATTTGCATCTTTCGTAATTTGAACTGAAATTCCTTGATCGAGGTTTTGGAAGTTATGAATTTTGGAGAGAAATTTATAAGATTGGTAAGATCTATTTATACTTCACAGAAAGCACAAATAATTGTTAATGGAAATGTAACAAAACCCTGTGAGTTACACAAAGGAACAAGCAGGGATGTCCATTATTTCCTCTTTGGTTATTTACGTTTTTGATGACTTTGGTACTGGAAAATCCTTTAAAAGGAATTGAAATATTAATGGACAGATTAAAATAATTTGGTACTTTTGTAGGATTAATGAACAGAAAATGAAGATGTTAATTAAATGTGAAAATAAAAGATGAATAGAACAGTTTTAAAATTTAAAAGGTAAAATATCTGGGTATCACTATGATAGACGTAAATTGTATGCTATTTAAAAGTAACTGTTAAAATGTAGAAAAAAATAAAAACTGTACTAATATGGGAAAAATTGTAACTGTCATTGCTAAGAAGAATTTCTCTGATAAAAATGAGTATCTTACCAGAATGATGTGTTTGTTTCAGAAAATGCTTGTTTTGACAATTGATGCACCTTTTAAAGAGTGACATATATGATGTTACAAGATGCAAAGACAAGAGGAAAATTGGGTCTACTTGATTTGAAATTTTAGTTTGCAGCCTGTTGTATGGTTCGAATGAAAGAGTAGTTGTTGCTGAGAAACATATTGCTTTTGGAGTAAGAAAGATATGACATGATATTTAGATGGAATGGACGTTTGTGATACAATAAGGCCAAGATAAATGTGGATTTTACAGATCATTATGTTAGCTGTGACATATTGAGAATTATTTTCATTAAAATAATTTGAGGGTATATCAGTATAGGGCCAAAGAAATTATTGGGTTTGTACCATGATAAATTACAAAACGGTTAGTTGTGGGAAGATTCATCCCCTGAACTCTGAATGTCCCATTAAACACTTATTTTGGATTCAGCAATATTACCAAGCATTTAGCAACATTCTTCAGAATCTATAATCTTAAGGGCTCCCTATATTTTTTAAAAATTAAACTGTTTCTTTGCAACCCAAAGAAAACTAGATTGAAATTGTTCAGTTTGGATTTTAAAAGTTTGCTTGTGATCCAGTTTGCTTTATCCCCCTACATTTATCTTATCCCTGCCAATAAATCTCAGTTGCAACTCCAAGCCCTTCCCTTGTATAGTTTTTTAAAATCTCTAAGATTTATTATAGCCACATGGATTCTTTCAATTGTTGGCTCCAAGTCTCTCTTGCAGATACATTCATATCCACGTGTCCAAATTTCTGCCTTTATGCCTGAATCTGTTTTTTTATGCCACAGTACCGTATCAAAAAAGGGCTTCCCTGCTGCACCCAATGCTCTCCTTCAGCCACCCCTTTGCTTCCAGGTGCATCTTGGCTCCCTTTCAGCTGTGGAGTTCGGCCATGGTTTGTTTTGCAGCTGCAAATATCCTGAGTCAGCAGGAAAAATCCATGTTGGGTGCAGGGATAGTGGGAATTGGGAGCCAGCCAGGCAGTTGCATGTTAAGAGGGTTATTTAAATGATTGGAAAAGGAACTAGTTTATCTCCTGCAGAGTATTTTTTTTTTTGTTCTTTGGGGCCTTAATTTGAATTTGGATGCTCACCAAGACTAAGCTTTTGAGCCTAATTTCAACCTAAAATGTGCAGAGAAGTGATAGGGATGTAGTTTTGTTTTCTGTAAAGAAGACAGGTTTTGAACATGCACAGAGCACTTTTCCTTAAAAAAAACAAAGAAGCAGAACAAATTGCACACAGCTAGATGAACATATGCATCCTTGACACAACATAAAAGGTTATTTAGGCTAATTGAAGATTGGAAACAATTTTGCAGCCACGACTTGCGCTTAGTTTACAGGGCTAAGGAGATGAGGTCATGATGCCACTAAGAGGATACCTTTTAGGAGAAGTTGAAGGCCATATGGCACTTATTTTACCTTTAATACCTTATCCCCATCCTTCACAAAAGCACAGCTTTCATAAAAATGGAATTAAAAATGGAGGGAGCTGGGAGCACTTTGGGTGATGACCAGGATGTTGTGGCAGGATTACAAGTTGCTGTTGGCCATGAGTTGAAAATCCGACAAGAAGGTTTGATTCACACATTGCACTAAATCACAAAATTGGTTGCTTGAGTTTGATTAGCATAATGGCTTGGTATGTTTTGTAAAATCAAACTATTCTATAATGATTAAGAAAACCATTATGAAATAAAGCTTGGCTTAGCATAATGTGTGAACTATATCAGAGTCTAGTGCTTTAAGATATTGATAGATAGTCTAGTGCTTTAAGATATTGATAGATAGGAGAATTGATTACAAGCTGAGTAAACTGCCCTTATTTTCACACCACTGTCTTGTCTTTGCTATAGGCTATTCCTATAGTCATTCTCGGTTCCTTTTGAGAATTTGAGGAAAAGACTGGCTTGCTGATCTTTTTAGCAAGACTCAATTATAATTAAATACAAGCTATGTTGTGGAGATAGTGGGAAAGTAAATTTATTTCTTGATGATGTATATGTGTTGAATTGGTTTTGGATAAATTTCGGTGGCTGGTTTGCAAAACGCTTCCAACTAATATAAATGGGCATTGGCTATCAGTAGTTTGCAGTTCAGAGTATAGTGTTAAATCAGTCATTGTCTTAGCAAGTTAAGTAAATCAGATCATCCTATTAAGCCCTAATTTATTTTTATATGGGTATAGCATATTATGTAAATACATTACTTTCTTGAATTTATGTATCCACTCATCTCACTCTTGTGATCTCTAAAAAATCAAAATCACATACAATGTCCATTAACATTCTAGCCTGATGCCTAAGCTTAAACCAGATCTTTACAGAAGACTAACAGTGTCAGTGCCATCCAGATTTCAGGGGGGATGCTGTTCCAAAAGAGCAAGCACCACAATAGAGAAGTCTCATTTCCTGCACCTTTTTCCCAGAAGGTATATGGAGCATTCCCACCCTGCAAGATCTGTTGTTGTTAGTTGTGAAGTCATGCCTGACCCATCATGGCCCCATGGACAATGTTCCTCTAGCCTTCCTGTCCTCTACCATCTTTTGGAGTCCATTTAAGCTCACTCCTACTGCTTCGGTGACTCCATCCAGCCACCTCATTCTCTATCACCCCCTTCTTCTATTGCCCTCAATCTTCCCCAGCATTAGGCTCTTCTCCAGTGAGTCCTTTCTAGAATAGACAAATTCCCATTCTGTGCCCACTATAATAATCAGTATAAATTTTCTCCTGCCTACTGTTAGCTAGTCTGAAACCTGATGATTGGGACCTTTGTGCTGCAAGTTATTACCCTCTCAACATCCTTCTACTAAAAGGAAAAGTTGGAAATCAGATTAAAATTGCCTAAATTCATTGAATCTGGCAATTACTTCCTGAGTTCCTGAATATTATTATGTTTACAAGTTGAATTTAAGATTAAGCAGATTTTGTGAACTGTGCCAATGTGTGTAGTCAGAAAATAGTGACAAGTTGCTCTCCCCATAGTTGACCTTTAAAAAATAACCAGATATATTGGTCTGCATCTTGAGAGATCCTGTGGTTCCTGTTGCTCTAAAGGAAGACATTGTCTGGTAAAATGAGACTGATTGATATCAGTAAAATGAGGTAAAATGAAACTGAGTGATATCTTTGTAATAATCAGATGGTGATATTTTATTTTTCAGAAACCTTGGATGAAATAAGATAATTTGGAAATGTTTTAGTCTGGCATCCAGGTTAACTTCAGGATTGCAGGTGAGTAAGCTCGGATACAGTATTAATGTAACTCATTCTGTGGCTTGTTCAGCTTTAATTTAGCATGTTTGTGCTTTGTTATACAAGTTTTTGTGCTTTGCAAACCAAGAATCTGTTATTGTAGGTGTTCTGTGTTCTAAATGAGGTGTTATGTCTGCATGGTGTCTGTTTCTTAGTCTCATTGTGCTCCCATTCCTCTTTTATCTCCATGAGAATTAAGAGTTTGAGGGCTGCCTAAGGCATTTTTAAAAATTACTTTCTTTCTTGACTTATATCTTATTTATCTCATCATTGCCTTGCTAACCGATTTTCCCTCTGCCCTTCATAGCCACCTTTATCACATTAGGCTAGTATAACCTTATACCACAAGTGTACCATCTAACTGGACCATCTTCCATAATTATCAACCAGCATGAACATTTTCTGAAAATTTTGAAGCTAACACCTCACATTGGATGTACCACGACCATTCTAACTCTGCCACAAAATCATCAACAAAATCCTGTACTAAATCTTGGTCTGAAACCCAATTCAAATCAGTCTAGATAATCTGTTTCCTCCAGAGTTCTTGTCAGCTGCAGACCAATTCCCCGCCCTTTCTCAGCAACCTTCTCTGAAAAGGGAAGATTGGAGACTAGTCAGTATCTATCAAAAACTGTTCAGTCCATGAATGTAGTCTTGAGGAAGGGGGCGCACCACCCCCTCTTTCAAGAAAGCATCATTCTCCCTTTCAGGGAGGCCAACAACATGGTCTGGACTTAACTGTAGGCCACTTCCCTGGTCCTTTCACAATCTAAAAGGACCCAGATCAAGTAAATAGGTGTCTGATCTATCAACATGGAGAACACTACTTCCTCAGCTGTCTTCAACTCAAATTCATTCCAAAATAATTGTATACATCATTCTCTTTATATAAAATGATAATGCCAGTCTCTTCACTAAATGGCTGCCTTCAGGTATGATTTAATGTATTGTTGTTTATATTAAATTATTTGTTGTCTGTTTTAAGTTTATTTTTTATTCAGTTGGAGGAGTTCTGGGATTCACCCAAAAAGCTTTCACAAGCTGTTTATCATAAACAATTATATTTATTTTTTAAAAAAATATAATTCAATTATTATCTAAAAAATAATGAAATCTATAGCATACTCTCAAAATTAAATTCAAAAAGTGGACAGGTTTTACTTAACACCAGGAAAAATATTTTCCCAATAGTACCTAACATGAAAGATAAAATTGATGAAAGCACTGGATCGTAAGGGATTGTGCAAATGAAAGGATTTGTTCCATTTTGAATGACTTTTTTGTGGTTTTGCATATAGTACATCTCAGTAATGGCAAACCTCTTGGGTTTTCCATATTAAAAATTTGGAAAATGCTTAAGTTGACTTTGCTGGTGTGTCACACTTTACACCCCCCCCCCCCCCAAAAAAAAAAGAGAGAGAAACAATTCTCTATCTCCTGTCACTCCATCTAGGCCTGAACAACAGCACTTAACACGCCAAGTCTGGGCCTGATGTGGAGGCTTAGATCTTGACTTCAGCCCTAGCATCACCACTGCCACTCAAAAAGCCTTCCTTGCACCATTCCCCAAGGTGCATGAGGGTTGGGAAATGGCATGATTGTTCACTATAGCAGAGCACTTCCCAGGATTTTCTGCATGCCACTTAGCCCCAGGGGATGTTCCTCTTTCTGTTGACCTGCCCTTGTGGCCTGTCTTTTTTTAAGTAATTTTGGAGAATGCACTTCCATTGTCTCTGCAGCCCCCCAAAACTGTGTGAAAGCATGCCCAGTTCTTCTGTGAATTTCAGAGGCTGCAGAGGCCAGGCAAGAGCCTTCTCCAAAGTTACTTGAAAAAAGAAGGCCTTCTGTAACTTGAAGCAGCCTCTGCTGCCTCCAAAAATCACACAAGAAAGAAGTGTGCTTTTGAGAATTATTGTCAGATGTGGGTGAATACTGGTGTGACATCCAAAATGTCCTGATGTGTCACCTTTGACATGTGTGTCATAGGTTTACTGAAACAGATTATTCAATACTAAATATTCTTGAATTGTTCTTATTGAGATCCATCCTAAATTGTACTAAATATAAAGAATATAATGGACCGCAATTGTGATTGGCCTGCTAAAGTACAGGCAAAGGAGTTAATTAAGTGAACTGTTGAAGTAATAATTTTAAAAAACCTATTCTATTGAATTAAGGATTAGTCGTCATCTACGTCATGTGTTTCCAATCAGTGAAATGTGCTCATTTGTGAAGAAATTGGAGGCAAGTATATTGAAAATGCAACAAAAATGTTTTGACATGTATTTTTTCTTATTTTATGATTATATAATGTATTTTTAATTTCATTTTTATAAATACAAGCACTTTAATTTTTAACTGAGATTTAGATCTAAATTTAAAACTAAATTTAGAATTAGATTTAAATAATATATTGTATTTTTTGCATAAGACACACTTTTTTCCCTCCAAAAATAGGTGGAAATGTCATGCGTCTTATACACCAAAACTCCGCCCACTCGCTGGCCCACTTTTGGCCTCTGCCTTCCAGCAATTTGCCTCCTTGCAGCAAACAGCCTGGTCTGCTTCAGCACAGCCTGATTAGCACAAGCAGCTGACTTGGCCTCCCGACGAACAGCTGTCTCAGGCTACAGGGATCCTCATCACCTATTGCCACCTTGGCACACCCCATTTTTGGCCTCCACATCCTGTTTTTGGCCATGTGCCCTGTTTTCAGCCTCCACATGCCCTGTTTTCGGCCTATTCCGATCCCCACCTCCTAGAACAGGCCGAAAATTGGCTGCACGGAGGCTGAAAACAGGGTCCAATAGGCGATGGGAATCCCTATAGCCTGAAACAGCTGATCATTGGGAGGCTGATTCAACTGACAATCAGCTGCTTGTGCTAATCAGGCTCTGCTGAAGCTGACCAGGCTGTTAGCTGTTTGTTGCAAGGAGACAAATTAGGCAGAGGCAGAGGCAGATTTTTTTTCTTATTTTCCTCCCCAAATGCTAGGTGCGCCTTATATTTCAGAGCATCTTATAATCTGAAAAATATGGTACATGAGGAAATAGAAGTGGAACTCATGAAATTTGCAGACAGCACCAAGCTGGCAGGAATAGCCAACACCCCATAAGACAAGCTCAAGATCCAAAAATATCTTGATAGATTTAAAAGCTATTATTTGATCCAGAACAGTTATCTGATTTTCAAATATTCCATTCTTTGGTCGGTGATTAAGGAAATTATGGCCTTGTATCTCCAAATATACCTGGATCAAATTGTTTTTCTGGACCTATTTCAATCAAAATTTCATCTAGGATTTTGTATTGAGGCTGATCTAGTCACCTTTGGTAAGTGACATTTATCAGAAACAGGAAGGAAATATATCCCTGCTTGTTGTCTTGAAACTCTAGACTAGGTGGTCTTCAGTACTATTTACCACTGTATCTTTAACCCCTAAATCTCTGACCTGTAGTATGGTTACCAATTCTGATAACATTAATATGAAACCTTTGGGAGAACATATTTGGAGCAGGATGCCATTAAATATAGAAAGAGTGTTTCACAATTTGGGAAATCTGCTTGAGCCCCAGTTATGATTTAATTTGTAGATTGTAATTATAAAAAGGAATATATATGGAAAATTATGGCCACTGTGCCAGTAGATCAGATTCAGAAACCCTAATTCAAGCTCCCAATAGCATTTTTAAAGCCTTATATACGTAGTGGTTGACTCTCTCTTTGACCACTTTGGTGGTGGCTCCCTTTCCTTGGAATATGTATCTCACTTCCAGATCTATTACATTTTCTAAGAGCTGTGAAAATACGGTTCTCTAGAAAGGCTTTTGGGACAGGCAAGATAATGTCATCTCTGAATTGCAGTATCTTGAATTAACTGATGGATAATTGTAGTAATTAATTGTTATTTTTACTTATTCCTAGTATAATATCATAAGCTGTTCAGAGTTTACAGAAATGTAAGTTCAGCATGCTCAGGTATCCAAATAAAGAAGAAGAAGCCGTTTTGAAAAGTAGTTATGGTTAGGAAGTCAACTACGACAAGAAAGGACTTTCAGTTGTCTTAATTTTGTTACGTTTTGTATTCCCCATTTATAATTGCTGCAAGCCACCTTAAATGTTGGACTAAAAGCACAATATAAATTCTAAAATGAATTAATTAATCGCCGAAGCCTCCAATTATGCAGGTATGGGACCTGAATTAAATACTCTATGATCTGCAAGGTAGTATGAAAATCATTAACATGGTACATGGTTGAGATATAGAACTCTGAGGAGCATGGTATGGAATTATGTATTTTGTCCACATAGAATTTTAGTAACTTTGATAGTGATGATAGCAACTTTTCAGTGTGGAATATCAAATCTTGAACTATCATATCTACAAAGTATGGGCCATTATATTTGTAAACACAGTCATATGTCAGATATTTGAAGCAAGTTGTGGATTGCATTATATATTTGTTTTTGAATAAAATCTAAGTGATAATTTGGCACAGGTGGAAGTTCTATAAGAAATTCATTACCAAACTACATAGTTCTTATGTTCGTTAGTCCTTGTGAGTTTTTTTGGAATATATTCTAAATTACTGGTTTTTTTTTAAAGGGGTACTAATCCTATAAGGAAATTTAATTATAAATGTATCTCCTGCATTACAGTCTGAGCGGTTATAAAATAGTGCTGATAATTTCTTCTTCCATATTCTCCAACAACTATGTAGTTGGGAGAGTGAGGGGAAAATATTTTTTTTTACTTTTCTTTACGGCTTTTTCTTGGCTAGTATGGTAAAGTAGGAATGAAATGCTCTGCTATTCCAGTTCCATTGCTTATTTGCATATTTTGAAAGTGAAGGAAGAAGGATTTCATCAATTTGGGAAGGAAATGCATGTTGGGAATTCTGTGGTTGAACTGTTATATCAGGGAAATAGACAGTTGGGGTGGCTATTCTGTTATTGTCCATCTGGTGTGCAGCACA